AATTGCGACGAAAAAATTATCAAAAAAATAATTAAAAATATTAAATTTTTCATTTTTTAAATTTTGTTTTCTAATAAATAATTGGGAAATTCAAATAAAAATTAATTAATTGAATATAACTAAATAAAATGATTATTTATATTAAATTTAAATATCAAAGATCTGTTTGAACACGGGGAATTGTGAAACACGTTGAATATTATGCAAGCGGAATATTGAAACTGGCGAAAATTTTATAGCTGAAAAAACAAAGCCTTCGAGAAATATAAGAGAAAATTAAGAGAAATTAATAAAATTAAGAGAACCGTACGAGAGAACCTTCCGAAATAAAATTAAGAAAACCTTCCGAGATTATTAAGAGAAAATTATTTAAGCAAGCATTAGTTTTAAACAAACATTTTCAATCTTTTTTAATTTAATTAATTTTTTATATTAATTAATTTTAAGCATTAATTTTAAACAAACGCCTTGGACCTTTGCGAATAAAGAATCGACAATTCTGGGGGTGTCATATCTCTTCTAATACTTATATTTTTTGGTAAATTTGGGAAAAAAGGAAGTTGTCTAATAATGTGGTTTATTATTTAATTATCTAATCAAGATTTTGAACTTTTTTTACTACTTTAGAAAAAATATATTTCAATACAAATCTGTCCCAAGTAATCAGAAAAAGTTGTTATTTCACTTTATCTTTATTTGAAAATTTATAATTTCTCGACAAAGTACATAAACTTTTTTTTAAATTAATGAATTAAATTCTAAAAAATAATCTATGAACATTAATGGTTTTTAATAAAATTTTTTTTAATTTTGATAGCTGAAAAACTTAAAGCCTTCCGAGAATATTAAGAGAAAAATTTAAATAAAAAAGTAAAATTATTTCCAAATTTTTCATTGTCAAGCTAATTAAATAAACCAATTGTTTAATAAGAAAAGTTTTTTAGAAGCAAAACTGAATTTTTTACCCAATATCCGGTTTTTCTCTTAAATTAACTCGGAGTTTCCAAATTAAAACTTTTTAAATTAAATATTCATTTATCTATTTACATCATTTTTGGAAATTTTTTTGAATTAATTAAATTAATTAAAGTAGTTAATTTAATTAAAGAAATTATTAATTTTGACATTTTAAGCAATTTATTTTTTATTTTAAATTATTTAAATTATTTAAATTTATAAAAAATAAGTTTATTATATTACATTTTTTAAATAAATAATTACTAATATTTTTTCATTTTATTGAAGGAAGTTAAACTTTATATTATCAAAACAGTCAAAAACAAAGTATTTATTTAAATAAAATATTTTTAATTGTTTTTTAATTAATAAAAAATGTTATTTTTTAATAGAAAAATTTAAAAATAATTATTTAATTCCTTGTTTATTTATTTTTATTGATCCATGTTGAATATTATATAAGAAATTAAAATTTAGACTTAAACATTAAAATTAACTTAAACATTAAAATTAAATTTATTTAATTAAATAAAATGTCAAAATTCCTAATTTTATTAATTGTATTAACTACTTTAATTAATTTAACTACTTCAAAAAAATTTCCAAAAAATGATGTAAATAAATAAATATATTTTATTTGTAAATAATTAATGTTCGAACCCTGTGTTATAATTTGGAAACCTCCTACACGAATTAATTTAAGAGAAACCCCGAATATTGGGTAAATAATTGTAATAAGATCATTTTAGCGCTGTCTTGAACCTAAGGAAGTTGGAATATTTTGTGGACATGCAGGGGGTCCTCGTTGGTGGTATGTAGCTAAAGAGAAAGTTTGTAAGGTAAATTAATTTTAAATTAAATAAAAATAATTTGAAAAAATTTTAATTTAAAGTCATTCCAATACAAAGGATGTGGGGGCAATAATAATCGTTTCAATAGTGAAAAGTTATGCTTGAAAGCTTGCAAGGTAGTTTTAATCAATTAAATAATTACTTTTTCTACTTTCTTATTAATTTAATAAAATTTAGGGTCATTAATTATTTAAAGGAGGAAATACAAGAATATTTATGATAATAAAATATTTAATATATAAATTAACTTAATAAATATATTTCTTAAAAAAAAATTTATTTTAGGGTTTTTTAAAAAACTTTGTAAATAGCTGTTCAATTTTTTCTCGATTAAAAAGCTTGTATTACCCTGTCAGCTAGCCAAAAAACAAATTTAACATAAAACATTTTAACAAATTAAAATTTATAAATCCTGTTAAATATCCTCCCTATTATTTTTGTCCTTTCTTTTTTATGTAGATTTTTGAAATTAATTGTAATAATCTGCAACCAATTTTATAAAATAAAAATTTTTTAAATCGTCTGAAATTTAAACAAAGATTGATGTACATACCTTTCAATTTAAATATTTTTGGATTTTCATAAGCATTAAAAATTTACACAAATATTTTAATGAATCATTTAATAAAAAGTAAGTAATTAATAATTTAAATTAATAATTAAAATTTAATATTAACATTTATTTTAATTTTAAGTATTTCTTTAATTTTTTCTTATGATAGCAAATCCTCTAAGCTTTAACGTCGTCCCTTAATTTTTTAGTTTAAAATTATTTTTAAATTAATTTCTTCACCTTACAAGCAAATTCACAAGTTTGTTGACTCAAAAAATTATTACAATTTCCATTACATCCATTAAAATTGAATGACTATAAATTTGTTGAAAATAAATAAAGATTTTGATTTTTTTATTAATTAGAAAATATTATTTATTTAATACTTTTATGTAGGAAAACAAAAAAGAAATATTTTAAAATATTCAGGAACTTTAAATAATTATTTAAATATCTTCCCTATTATTTAAATTAATTAAAACCCAACCCTGCAAGCATTCTCCCTAGCTACAAAATGCCAACGAGTTACAGATCTACGGTTATTTCCACAAAAAGTCCCAATTTGACTATTTTGGAAACAAAGCTGGGGCTAAAATATTTTTTTTTATTTAAAAAATAAAAAAATATATTTTATTTTACCACACTTCCCCCTTGCCCAAAACTAATTTCAAAAAATACAGAAATTAATATTAAAATAATAATTAAATTTTTCATATTTTTAAAAATAATTTTTTTAATAAATAAATTTAAAATAAATTTCAAATTAAATATTTTTTAATTTATATAAAAATCTTTTTTTTCTCCATTATTCATTATAATCACTTACTCATTAAATCAAAGTTTTAAATAATATAAATTGATATTAATAAAATTCTAAATGTCAGAACATTTAAAAATATTTACAAAAAAATATTGGAAAAATTGCTAATTATTTTTAAAAAATTATTTTAATTTTTGATTTCTGTTAATCTTTTTTCTCTTCATAAATATTGAAAATACTAAAATTATTCAACAGAGAGTAATTTAAAGTTAAAGAGAAAACAAATATTTTTCCTGATTGTTTGTTAAAAAGACAAAAAAAAATTTTTGTTCAAATTAGTAAAAATGAAAATTTAATTTAAAAATGAATAATTAATTTAAACAATAAAATTTCCAGCTGTTTGTTAATTACACTTTTCAACATCACTTTTTAGTATTAGATAATAGATTTTTGTTCTAAAGTTTTCGAGATAATGCCAGTCCTTTCAGTAAAATAACTTGCTTGCTGGCAGGGATTAAAAGACGGTTAGAAATAATTTCTGTCATTTTTTCGAGATTATAAATAATTAATCTGAATCGTAAAATTGAGAGATTATCTGAGTAAATTGATATCGAAAGACACCATTTCTACACAAAGTATTTTTATCAAAAAAAGAGTTTATAAATTTTATTTGTTAAATTTGTTTTTTCTTCAGCTGACAGGGTAATACAAGCTTTTTAATTGAGAAGAAATTGAACAGCTATTTACAAAGTTTAAAAAACCCTAAAATAAATTTTGTTTTATTTTTAAAAAATATATTTATCGAGTTAATTAATTAATTATTTTATTAATAATTTCATTATCAATTTATTATTTTATTATTATATTCTTGTATATCATCCATCCTTCAGTTAATTAATGACCCTAAATTTAATTAAATATATTTTTTGGACTAAATATTTAATTAATTACTTTGCACGATTTCTGGCAACTAGCTTTAGAATTAAAATTGTTTTGATTTCCCCCACATCCTTTGTATTGGAATGACTTTAAAAATTATTTTTCCATTTAATTTAATTTAAATTTATTTTTACCTTACAAGCTTTCTCTTTAGCTACATACCACCAACGAGTACCTCCACAATTATTTCCCTCAGCTTTTGGTTGGCGACAACGCTAAAAATATGAATTAATTTTTAAATTAAATTAAATATATTTAATTACATCTACTTTACATTCACTTAAATTAATTAGAGTAGTCAATACAATTAAGAAAATTATGAATTTTGACATTTTATTTAAAGATTTTTATTTTTAATGTTTAAGTTAATGTTTAAATTAAATTAAAATTTAAATTGCTTATATATTATTCAATATAGGTTAATAAAAATAAATAAACAAGGAAATAAATAATAATTTTTAAATTTTTATATTATAAAAAATAATAAATGTTTTTATTTATAAAAAAACAATTAAAAATATTTAAATAAACAAATAACTCTTAATTAAAAATAAAATTTTATCAGAAAAAGCTTTTCACGACATATGCGGGAAATTGACATTAGGTAGGGATCGGGAGGCATAAATATCGCAAAAATTCCCCTATTCGGGAATCGGGATACCCGAACTTCACTAAACTAAAAAAATATATTTTTTTAATTATTTTATTGAGGAAGTTAAATTTAAAATCGTCAAAACAAACAAAAACTAAATGTCAAATGTTATTTGTTTATTTAAATATTTTTAATTGTTTTTATAAATAAATACATTCATTATTTTTTAAATATAGAATTTAACAATCATTCTTTAATTCCTTGTTTATTTTTATTAATCCCTACTATATATAAGCAATTTAAATTTAAATATTTCTAACATTAAATTTAAACATTAACTTAAACATTAAAAATAAAAATTAATTTCTATTTAAATAAAATGTCAAAATTCCTAATTTTCTTAATTGTATTAACTACTTTAATTAATTTAAGTGAATGTAAAGTAGATGTAAATTAATTTAATTTAATTTAAAATATAATTATTTTTAGCGTTGTCGTCAACCAAAAGCTGAGGGAAATAATTGTGGAGGTACTCGTTGGTGGTATGTAGCTAAAGAGAAAGTTTGTAAGGTAAAAATAAATTTAAATAATTTTTAAACAAAATTTTAATTTAAAGTCATTCCAATACAAAGGATGTGGGGGAAATCAAAACAATTTTAATTCCAAAGCTAGTTGCCAGAAATCGTGCAAAGTAATTAATTAAATATGGTCATAAATATATTTAATTAAATTTAGGGTCATTAATTAACTGAAGGATGGGATATACAAGAATATGATAATAAAATAATAAATTGATAATGAAATTATTAATAAAATAATTAATTAATTAACTTGATAAATATATTTTTTAAAAATAAAACAAAATTTATTTTAGGGTTTTTAAATTTTGTAAATAGCTGTTCAATTTCTTCTCATTTAAAAAGCTTGCATTACCCTGCCAGCTAGCGAAAAGACAAACTTAACATAAATAAATCTTCGGGGTTCGGTATCGGGGGTTTCGAGGGTCGTGTTGCTATCCTACATTGAATTAATAATCCAAAAACGATTTTAATTTATGAAATTTATGTTTATAGAATAGGTAATATGTATGATAGTAAAGAATTGTTAAGGTGTAAAAATTAAAGAGTTATTTCTTTAATAAAATTTTTAATTTATCAGATTTGAGGAATTTACGAAAATAAAAAAATGTAAAATAAAAGAAAGAATTTAATAGCCAAATTAGTTAAATAAAATCTTCGTTCTAAAATCCATTTTTAATAAAATCATCTTTAAATAATTATTTATTGCCCCATAATATTAATATTTTTCTTTTAAACTGAAACTAAAGTAGTCACACTTTGTGATGGAAATGAATATGTAAATGATCCTTCTCCCGTTACGTTAATGTTATTTTGTTGTTGGAAATTTTTGCCTTGAGAAGTAATATATGAACCAAATGAAGATGGTAATGTTCCCCCATTAATTGAAAATTGTTCTGAGATAGGCGAGGATCCCATATTTATTGCCACAATTACTACCTTTAAAAAATAATTAAAAATATTTTTAAAAATAACTGATAAATCTCAGTTTAGTGTACCCTCCTATCCAATAACACAACTAATAAATTCTTTTATATTTAATTAAGACTATACTTATATGATATTAATTAACTAGATAATAATTTAAAAAATCCGAATAGTTTTTCGAAAAATTATAACTAATACACAACTAAATTAATTAATTAATTACCTTTCCATTCCCTGTGTATGCACTCACAAGCAAATTATTATTAGAACTGACAGAATTAACTCGAAAATATCCTGGCCTAATAAATTTTGCAAAATGTCCAATAACAAAAGCGTTAGGCGTTAATTGCCAATTTTGTTTTAAAAGCATCATAGTTATTGAATTACCCCTCAACCACCAATGAATATAAGCATTAAATTCAGCAATTGTCATACAATTGTGAATATCTTCGGCTGTTTTCATAACAGTATTAAAATCATTTCCATCAATAAAATGTTCGGTCATCCAAAATTGCTTTCCAGATTTTTTTACTAAAGGTTGGGGTTTCATAATAAATCCATATCCATGCATTGCATCAATATCAACTACAGCAGCTGATTGAGGGTCGTTCTTTAATTAAATTTTTTATTAGAATACTTATTTTTATCTTAGCATAAATAATTTAGAGGTTAAATTCAGAGGTAATTATTATTACCGATGTACAGTTAAGTAGTAAAAATAATTATTTGAGTTTTCTTATTAACATAATTTTTTAAATTAAAAAAACCTACCAAAATTGCATCATTCATTTCTGTTCTATATCCATAAGATTCGGATGCCATAATTTTTATATTACTTCCCGATTTAATTCTACTCGCAAAATTTTTCAAAAAATTTTTCATTTGATCTGGTGTAAAAGACATTGGATTACCAGCATAATCAGGCTCATTGATTATCGAAATTGCATAAAGAGGTGCATCATTATTTTTGAAATAATCAACGAAACTTTTTAAATAATCAGCATAATTGCTATATTGGTTAGAACTGAGAGGGCCTGGTTTGTCTTCTTGTTTATTTTCTTTCATATTAGCTGGGGCAGTCCAGGGAGAGGCAAATACTTTGGCATCAAATTTTAATGCATTTTTGGCATTTGATAATTCATCATTCCATCGTTTATGTTCGTCAATTCGAATACGAAGGATTGAATACCCAAGAGTTCCAAATCTATAAATTCAAACAAATTTATGTATGTAAATATTCCTGCAAGTATTTATAAAATTATTAATAAATAATTATTTATATATTCGAATTTTATATATATTAAATAAAAATTTCTTTGAATGTTAAGCATTTCTAGAGTCTTTCAGACACTCAGATTATTTAAATGAATAAAAAATCCCTTACAGTTCATTCATTGTCTGATTGGGAACTGCTCCATTCCAAGCTGAAGATGCACCGAATCCATCAATAAGTTGGCGTTTTTCATTAAGATTAATAGTTACATTTCCATTATTACGGTCAAATTGCGACGAAAAAATTATCAAAAAAATTATTAAAAATATTAAATTTTTCATTTTTTAAATTTTGTTTTCTAATAAATAATTGGGAAATTCAAATAAAAATTAATTAATTAATTGAATATATAACTAAAGAAAATGATTATTTATATTAAATTTAAATATCAAAAATTTGTTTGAACAGGGGGAATTGTGAAACACGTTGAATATTATGCAGGCGGATTATGCAGGCGGGATATTGAAACTGGCGGAACTGTTATGGCTGAAAAAACAAAGCTTCGAGAATACAAGAGAAAATTAAGAGAAATTAATTAAATTATAAGAACCGTACGAGAGAACCTTCCGAAATAAAATTAAGAAAACCTTCCGAGAATATTAAGAGAAAATTATTTAAGCAAGCATTAATTTTAAACAAACATTTTCAATCTTTTTTAATTTAATTAATTTTTTATATTAATTAATTTGAAGCATTAATTTTAAACAAACGCCTTGAACCTTTGCGAATAAAGAATCGACAATTCTTGGGTGTCATATCTCTTCTAACACTTATATGCAGAGAGAGTTTTTTTAGGTCCAAAAAACCCGAGAATAGGCACCTAAATAGGTTCGAAAAAAGACTAAAATAGGTTCAAAAAATTTCGAAAAGTGGCAAAATAGGTACGAATTTTTAGCAAATAGGTTTGAATTTTTCGAGTTTTTTTCAATTTTTGTTTCCTATTTATAGTTTTTCAATATTTACGGGTCTGTATCTCGGTCCAATCAAATCAGATTTTGTTGATTTTAGTGTCATTCGACTCAGCTCGAGGAGCTTTTTCGAATGAGCTACAATTCATAAAATCGAATTTTTCACCTCAAAAATGATAGTGCCCCATATTGTTTATCTGTGAGTCCACCCCTAAAGATCTACACAATTGAGACCGTCACTCTCAATCCCTATTGACAATTAAACCTACACCTTTTGAAATCAAATTCGACGAATTTATAGGGATTAACGGGTCAAGTAACTTTGGATGAGTTGATGTTAATCCACGATATCTTTTCATCCACATCAATAACACAAAATCCATCTATATTTCCTTAATCCCACCAAATCCCTAGATATTCACTTTCAATATGCTCCTACAAAAGTTGTAGGCCTTCTAGGTCAATATGTCTTGAATCAAAGAAAAAAAAATAAAATTTTTCGTCAAATTTAAGGATTCTGTCATTTTTATCAAATATGAGATTTTTACTACATTATATTGATAAGAATTGGGTTTTTAGCCGTTTTTGGCAAGTAAAGGACCATGAAATTAGCGTGAATATGACTTAAACACTCTAACATTAACTATTTTTTTAAATTTTATGTCAATTTTACAAAAATAAAGGAGATTTTTATGATTTTTTTCAAAAAACCTAAAATAGGTTCAAAAAAGCCCAAAATAGGTCGCAAATAGGTTTTAGGTCCAAAAAGGCCGAAATAGGTTTTTTAGGTCCGAATAGGTCGAATATAGACACATTATTTCGACCCAAAACTTTGTTTTTTGTGCTTATCTCATCATAACAAGTTCGCAAAAAAAATAGGTAAAAACCTAAAAAAACTCTCTCTGCTTATATGTTTTAGTAAATTTGGGAAAAAAGGAAGTTGTTTAATAATTTGGTTTATTATTTAATTACCTAATCAAGATTTTGGACTTTTTTTACTACTTTAGAAAAAATATATTTCAATACAAATCTGTCCCAAGTAATCAGAAAAAATTGTTATTTCACTTTATCTTTATTTGAAAATTTATAATTTACCAACAAAGTACATAAACTTTTTTTAAAATTAATGAATTAAATTTTAAAAAATAATCTATGAACATTAATGGTTTTTAATAAAATTTTTTTTTAATTTTGATAGCCGAAAAAACTTAAAGCCTTCCGAGAATATTAAGAGAAAAATTTAAATAAAAAAGTAAAATTATTTCCAAATTTTTCATTGTCAAGCTAATTAAATAAACCAATTGCTTAATAAGAAAAGTTTTTTAGAAACGAAGCAAAATTTTTTACCCAATATCCGGTTTTTTCTCTTAAATTAACTCGGAGTTTCCAAATTAAAACTTTTTAAATTAAATATCTATTTACATAATTTTTGGAAATTTTTTTGAATTAATTAAATTAATTAAAGTAGTTAATATAATTAATAAACGTTTACCACATTACGTCTACCACGTTTAGAATTTATATTTAGTTTTTTATAACTCTTAAAGATTAACGTAATCTTTGATATTTAAATTTAATATAAATAATAATTTTATTTAGTACTCCTAAAGCTGGTTATTTTTGCCTCTTTAACAATTCTTTACTTTCTACATATAAACATAAATTTCATAAATTAAAATCGTTTTTGGATTATTAATTCAAAGTAGTGTAGCAAAACGACTCTCGAATCCCCGACCCAGAACCCCGAAGATTTTTTTGCCTTCGGGGTTCTGGTCGGGGTTTTTGCCAAAAAAATTGTCGCGGTACGTGGGACGTAGAGCTACCCTAATTTAAATTAACAATTAAAATTTAAAATTTACATTTTTTTAATCTTAATTATTTCTTTAATTTCTCTTTCTTTTAATAGCAAATCCTCTAAGCTTTAACGTCGTCCCTTAATTTTTTAGTTTAAAATTATTTTTAAATTAATTTCTTCAATACATACCTTACAAGCAAATTCACAAGTTTGTTGACTCAAAAAATTATTACAATTTCCATTACATCCATTAAAATTGAATGACTATAGAATTGTTGAAAATAAATAATAATGTGATTTTTTATCAATTAAAAAATATTATGTATCTATTTAATAATTTTATGGAAAAGAACAAAAATTTTTTTTTAATATTCAGGAACTTTAAATAATTACCTAAATATCCTCCCTATTATTTAAATTAATTAAAACCCAACCCTGCAAGCATTCTCCCTAGCTACAAAATGCCAACGAGTTACAGATCTACGGTTATTTCCACAAAAAGTCCCAATTTGACTATTTTGTAAACAAAGTTGGGGCTAAAATATTTTTTTATTTAAAAAATAAAAAATATATTATTTACCACACTTCCCCCTTGCCCAAAACTAATTTCAAAAAATACAGAAATTAATATTAAAATAATAATTAATTTTTTCATATTTTTAAAAATAATTTTTTTAATAAATAAATTTAAAATTAAATATTTTTTAATTTATATAAAAATCTTTTTAATTACCATTATTCATTATAATACTTACTCATTAAATTAAAGTTTTAAATAATAAAAATTGATATTAATAAAAGTATAAATGTCAGAACATTTAAAAATATTTACAAAAAAATATTGGAAAAATTGCTAATTATTTAAAAAAATTATTTTAATTTTTGATTTCCCATCTTTTTTCTCTTCATAAATATTGAAAATGCTAAAATTATCAACAGCGAGTAATTTAAGGTTAAAGAGAAAAATAAATATTTTCCTTGTTGTTTGTTGAAAAATTCAAAAAAAATTTGTTTTTAAAAGATATTTTTTACAAAACTTCTTTAATTAATCTATTAAATTTTAAAAAATTCTGTTTAAATTAGTGAGAATATTAAAATAAAAATATTTAATTTAAACATTAACAATAAATTTAAAAAATAAAATTTCCAGCAATTTAGTTAATTCACCCTTTTTAATATCACTTTTTAGTATTAATTAATGGTTTTTGTTCGATATACTGCCAGAGCCGTCAGTATAATAAGTTGGTTCTGGCAGGGATTAGAAGACGGTCAAGAATAAGTCATTTTTTTTCGAAATTATCAATAATTAATTGGAATCGTAAAATTGATAGATCTCAACATTTTTTTGTAAATCGTTATCGAAAAACACCATTTCCAAACAAAGTATTTATATCAAAAAAAGTTTTTTTATAAATTTTGTTTAATTTGTTTTTTCGCTAGCTGACAGGGTAATACAAGCTTTTTAAATGAAAAGAAATTAAATAACTATTTACAATGTTTGAAAACCCCAAAATAAATTTTATTTTTTTAGAAAAATATATTTATCAAGTTAATTTATTATTAAATATTTTATTATCATATTCTTGTATACCCCATCCTTCAGTTAATTAATGACCCTGAATTTGATTAAATATATATTTTATGACTATATTTAATTACTTTGCAAGACTTCTGGCAACTAGCTTTAGAATTAAAATTGTTTTGATTTCCCCCACATCCTTTGTATTGGAATGACTTTAAAAATAAATTTTGTTTTTAATTTAATTTAAATTTATTTTTACCTTACAAGCTTTCTCTTTAGCAACATACCACCAACGAGTACCTCCACAATTATTTCCCTCAGCTTTTGGTTGGCGACAACGCTAAAAATAATTAATTTTTAAATTAATTTAAATATATTTATTTATTTACATCTACTTTACATTCACTTAAATTAATTAAAGTAGTTAATACAATTAATAAAATTAGGAATTTTGACATTTTAATGAAATTGAAATTTATTTTTAATGTTTAAGTTAATGTTTAAATTTAATGTTAGAAATATTTAAATTTCAATTGCTTATATATAGTAAGGATTAATAAAAATAAACAAGGAATTAAAGAATGATTGTCAAATTTTTATATTTAAAAAATAATGAATGTATTTATTTATAAAAACAATTAAAAATATTTAAATAAACAAATAACATTTGACATGTTGTTTTTGTTTGTTTTGATGATTTTAAATTTAACTTCCTCAATAAAATAATTAAAATATAAATATTTGGTATCCCGATTCCCGAATAGAGGAATTTTTGCTATATTTATGCCTCCCGATCCCTACCTAATGTCAATTTCCCGCATATGTCGTGAAATTTTTACATCCATAAATGGCTTTTTCTTATAAATTGTATTTTTAATTAAGAGTTATTTGTTTATTTAAATATTTTTAATTGTTTTTTTATAAATAAAAACATTTATTATTTTTTATAATATAAAAATTTAAAAATTATTATTTAATTCCTTGTTTATTTATTTTTATTAACCTATATTGAATAATATATAAGCAATTTAAATTTTAATTTAATTTAAACATTAACTTAAACATTAAAAATAAAAATCTTTAAATAAAATGTCAAAATTCCTAATTTTCTTAATTGTATTAACTACTTTAATTAATTTAAGTGAATGTAAAGTAGATGTAAATTAATTTAATTTAATTTAAAAATTAATTATTTTTAGCGTTGTCGCCAACCAAAAGCTGAGGGAAATAATTGTGGAGGTACTCGTTGGTGGTATGTTGCTAAAGAGAAAGCTTGTAAGGTAAAAATAAATTTAAATTAAATTAAAAACAAAATTTATTTTTAAAGTCATTCCAATACAAAGGATGTGGGGGAAATCAAAACAATTTTAATTCTAAAGCTAGTTGTCAGAAGTCTTGCAAAGTAATTAATTAAATATTTAGTCCAAAAAATATATTTAATTAAATTTAGGGTCATTAATTAACTGAAGGATGGATGATATACAAGAATACAAAATACAAAATGGATGATATACAAAATTTAATAATAAATTGATAATAAAGTTAAAATTAAATAATTACTAAATTAATTAACTTCCTAAATATATTTTTTTAAACAAAAAAAACTATGTAAATAGCTGTTCAAATTCTTTTCATTTAAAAAGCTTGTATTACCCTGTCAGCTAGCGAAAAAACAAATTTAACATAAATGAAACATTTAACAAATTAAATTTATAAAACTTTTTTTGATAAAAATATTTTGTGTGGAAATGGTGTTTTTCGATATCAATTTACACAAAAAATCTCAGAATCACTCAATTCTACGATTTTAATTAGTATAATATATTTTTAAAAATAAAACCAGATTAATTGTAGTTTTTTCTCAGAAGGGTTGGAAAATTAAAGAGAAATTTCTTTTAAATTATTGAATATTTGCCGCGTCTTTCTTTTATTTTAAGAATTTTAAAATAAATCAAAAAATTAAAAATTAGGTTAACCTAAGTTATTTTTGTCTAATCAAAACAAAAAGTCATTGAGTAATTTTCCAACTTCCTTTTTTAAATCAGAATTAGATTCCTCGGAAAATTTAATTTCAAAATATTTTATTTATTTTTTTGGTTAAATGAAGATTAAGATGAAATGGTGTGACTGATATTGAATAATCTGTTAAGAATTTTTGAGTAATGATTTAATAAATCTGTTTTGCTAAAGAAGATGAAAAAAATTAATAATCAAAAATTATATATTTATTTTGAGCAAAAACATAACTAAAATAACAATAACAATATACATACAAATAATTTTTGTATGGAAAAAACAAATATACAATCAAAATATTTAGATATAATAAACAACAATTTTAATTTTTATATTTTCATCCTTTAATTCCCAATTAATTCTTCTCTTCATTATTCCCTTCTTCCCTACAAAAACAATACCAAAGGAGAACACCAACAACACTAGCAAGCCTTCAAATAGTATATTTAAAAATAATTTGAATAATCTAAAAATTCTTACAAGACAATATTTACAGTAATCAAGGTAGCAGTAATTAATTCATCCGACCCTGAAGATCGTGAAGGTTTGGGTCTTAAATAGTTCCAAGTTTCTTCGTCAGGTTCCTCTATTATTTCCTCTGTTGTCGATTCTTCAGTTGTCGTTATTCCAATTGTTGTCTCAGTTGTTTCCTCTTTCTCGTTTATTAGAAGCCTATATTCTTGTCCACTCTTAAATAAATTTTGAATTTAAAAGTAAAATTACTCAAACTCACAAATTTAATTTCAATTTTGCAATTGGGTCCATCCAGGGCCGAATTCCTTTTAATATTATTCCCATCACGCTGGCAAGAAGCTCTTTGAGGGAGAAGGTAGAAAGCAAACAATCTATCGTAGCGAGAACCTCCATGACTTTTATCTTCAATTTTCCAAGTTATCGGTTCAATTAATCCTTCTTCGTCTATTATTTCATCATATCGATGTAAACATACAAAATCGCATCTCGAGGTAGACAAGTAACAATTTCTTTCAACTTTCTCTATTTTGAACCAATAAAGGCCATCATCAACACGGACATTAATTTCAGACTTTAAATTGTTTACACGATCTTTCTTGAGAGGACATTGACACACAACTGGCTCCCCGACTAAATATAGTACATATATTAAAAAGTTTGAAGAGAAAAATTTATCTCCTTACCTGGTTGCATGCCAACATGAACTTTATCTTCATTATATGCCCAACCAAACTCTAATCCACCAGGTTTCAAGCATTCTCCACCACGTTCGCGGCACCCATCCTTCTTATCACAAGAAATATCCCCCTCGTAGGGTCCTTCCTTTAGCTTTTCAAAACGTTCAATACCAATGCTGTATACAAAAGGAACCCTTAAATTATAATATTAGTTGTCTTTTAAGAACAATTCTCTCTCACATATTGGCATTAAATCCATCGGGCATTGGCTGAAGACATTCTCTAATCTCTTTGTTGTCATTACTCAAAGTCACGTTGAATTCGAACTTATAAGTGAAATATTGTTGCAAGAAATCGATGGCACATCCAGTTTCACGAACGTAGTTGTAATTCAGAATGCTTAAAAATACATTTAACTTTAACTCTTAACTCTCCTTTAAACTTACATATCCCCATTATCGTCAAACTTTACATCACAAGCATTCTCCGTTCCTTTGTAATCCTCTAGATCCTCGTTGCTATTTGCAATACGTCGTGCTGTGCCAAGTTGAGTGATTTTGTTGTCAACCATAGTGTGACGACCATAACCAACAATTGTAGTCTCTTCTGACATATTATAATTGAGTGAAGTCCAAATAGCCAGAAGAATAACTAGAAGAGCTGTCACACGAAGCATTGAGAGAAGAAAAAGTTTGTTTGACGTAATAGGATTTGAAGAAGATTGATAAAATATTTTAAATTTTTAAGCTTTTTATACAGATTTTATTTAAAATTAAATAAGGGCTACATTGTTTGAATCATACAATCATACAGTGGCGGCAATTTAGTTAAGAAAAGGGTAACTCATCGTTATCCAATTTGGCAGTTCTTAATGTTAAAGAACAGCTTAATTTTATTCTCAGTTGACATGTTTCGGCGTTTTTATTTTGATGAATATTTAATTGTTTATTATTTTTCATTAATTAATTTAAATTAAATCGTTATAAGAATACTTAAATACAATTTAAGGTCATTAATTATATCAAGGATGATACACAAAAATAATTAATTTGGTAATAAATTGATAATAAAATGACAAATATAAATTAACTTTTTAAATATAATTTTTAAAATAAAATTAAATTTATTTCTGTTCTTTAAATAAAAATTTTCATCCTTTTATTTTAAAATTAATTTAAAATATAATTAACTGCTTAATTATTAAAACACAAAAATAAATATTAACTAAAAATTAAATAATTTTATATTTATATTTTTATTTATTTTAATATATTTAATATTTAAATTTATTATATTTAATTTATAATAATATTTAAATTTAATAATAATATTTAAAAATAATATTTAATATAATTATTTAAATTTTAATATTTAATTTTAATATTTAAATAATATTTAATATTTAAATTTTATTTAAAATAATATTTATATTATTAATATTTAAATTTATTTATATTTTTGATAATATTTAAAAATTAATTTATATATTTAAATTTTAATAATATTTAAAAATATTTAAATTAAATTTTTGATATTTAATATTTAAAAATATTAATATTATTTAATTTAAAATTATTAAATTAATATTTAAATTAATTTAATATTATTTAATATTTAAATTTAATATTTAATTAATATTTAAATTATTAATATTTAAATTTAAAATTTAATTAATATTTAATATTTAAAAAATATTTAAAATTTAAATTTAATTTTTATTTAAATTATTTAATATTTAAATTTAATTAATAATATTTATTTTATTTTTTTATTAAATAATATTTAAATTTAATTTAAAATTATTTAAATTTAATTTTAAAAAATATTTAAATATATTAATATTTAATATTTAAATTTATTTTAAATTAATATTTATTAATTTTTATATTTAAATTATTTAATATTTAAATATATTTAAATTTAATTTATTTTAAAAATTAATTTTAATATTTAATATTTAAATAATATTTAAAAATTTTTATTAATTTTATTTAAAATAAATATTTAAATTATATTTAAATTTTATAATATTTAAAATTATATTTAAATAATATTTAAATTTTAATATTTAAAATTAAAATTTATATATTTAATATTTAAATTATTTAAATTTAATATTTAAATTTAAATTAATTTTAAATTTAATTAATTTTAAATAATATTTAAATTAATATTAAATTTTTGTAATATTTAATATTTATATTTAATATTTATTTAAATTTAATTATTAATTAAATTTAAATTTTTTTGAATATTTAATATTTAAATAATATTTAAATTTATTTAAATATTATTTAAATTTAAAATAATATTTAAATTTTATTTATTAATTATAAAAAAATTATATTAATATTTAAATTTTTAATAATATTTAAATTTAATATTTAAATTTTAATATTTAAATAATATTTATTTATTATTATTTTAATTTATAATATTTAAATTTATTATTATTAATTTAATATTTAAATTAAATTATTTATTTAATATTTAAAATTATATTTAATTTTTAATATTTAAATAATATTTAATATTTAAATTTTAAATTTTTTGTAATTTTTTTTTATTTAAATTTGTTTAAATTAATTTAAATTTTATTTAAATTAATTATTTTTGATAATATTAAATTTAATTATTTAATATTTAAATTTATTTTTATTAATAATAATATTTAAATTTATTTTTGATAACTTGACCTCAAAAAAATTAAATCTAAAAAATCAAAAATAATCCCAAAAATTTAGAAAAAAAAAGAAAAAAAGAATTTAAATTATTTCATTAATTTCAAAATTTTAAATGATAAATCAGGAAATTCAAATTTAATTCTACATAGAATCAAGATTAACGAGTTAAGTATTCGATGAATTTATTCAAAATAGAGTCGTTGGGTAATTTATTTTCCATTTTACTTTTTTTAATTAGAATTAAATTCTTTAGAAAACTTAATTAAAAAAATTTTTTTTTTATTTTTTTAATTAAATGAAGATTACAATGAAATAATGGCCGATATTGAACAAAAGTTAAACAATAATAAATGACATTATTTAATTTCATTTTTCATTAATTTCAGTAATCCCAAATACACATTTACTAATATTTTCACTAAGTACATACATTATTCTACAAATGTATGAAAAAAATATTTCTTAATTTTATAAAATTTAATTAGTATTTTATCTAAAAATATCAAAAAAGAGTTTTTAGAAGAAATTGTCAATTAAAATCATATATTTATTTAAGCATAAGCAGAAATATTTAACAATTATAACAAGGAAACTAATTTTTATATGGAAAACAAAACACCGCAAATTCTCTAATAGAACCACGTTTGTTTATATTTTTCAATCCTCTTGAGGTTAAAAGTCTGTTTATTGTAGAGTGTGTGGTTATATTAAAGGATTTACTAAATATTATCAACAACAATTTTAATTTTTATATTTTCATCCTTTAATTCTCTCCATTCTTCTCTTCATTATTCCCTTCATTTCTACAAAAACAAAACCAACAAAGACCACTAACAATAATGACAAACCTATAAAAAATATTTAAATAATTTAGATATAACTTAGAAATTCTTACAAAATAACATTGACAGCAATCAAGGCAACGGTAACGAATATATTACTCTTTGAAGTTGGCGAAGGTTTGGGCCCTATAGAAGTTTGCAAAGGTTTGGACGAAGATGCGGACCAAGTTTCTTTTGCAGTTCCCTCTTTTGTCGTTGTCCCAATTTCCTCAGTTTTTGTTCCCTTAGTTGTTTTTTCCTCAGTTGTTGGTTCTTCTGTTGTTGGTTCCTTTGTTGTTGTCTCCTCTTTCTTGTTTACTAAAAGCCTATATTCTTGTGCACTCTTAAATAAAATTTGAATTTGAAAATATTTTTGGTTAACTCACAAATTTAATTTCAATTTTGCAATTAGGTCCATCCAGAGAAGAATTCCTTTTAATATTATTCCCATTACGCTGGTAGGAAGCCTTTTGAGGGAGAAGATAGAAAGCAAGTAATTCATTGAACGCGAAATCTTCATAGATTCTATTATCAAGTCTCCAAGTTATTGGTTTAATTAATCCTTTTTCCTCTACAATCTCATCAAATCGGCGTAAACACACAAAATCGCATCGTGAGGAAGAAAAATAACAACTTTCTTCAAAATTCTCAATATGGAACCAAAAAAGGCCATCATCAACATGGACATTAATTTCGGACTTTAAATTGTTTACATGATCATCCTTGAGAGGACATTGACACACAACTGGCTCACCAACTGTAAAATTGATGTTAAAATTTGGAAAGAAAATTATTGTCTTTACCCGATTGTATACTCGCATGAACTTTATCTCCATTATAAGCCCAACCAAACTCTAATCCGCCAGGTTTCAAGCATTCTCCCCCACTTTTGATGCACTCATCCTTCTTATTGCAAGAAATATCCTCCCCATCGTAAGGTCCTTCCTTCAGCTTTTCAAACCGTTCAGAGCCAATGCTGTATGCAAAAGGAACCCTTAAATTTATTTTATTCTTTTGAAAAATTATCTTTTCCACTCACAAATTGGCATTAAATCCATCGGTTGACATTGGCTGAAGACACTCTTTAATCTCTTTGTTGTCATTACTCAAAATTGCTTTGAATTCGAACATAAAATCGAATTTGGCTGTAAGATCGATAGCACATCCAGTCTCACGAACGGTGTTGTAATTCAGAACACTTAAAAATACAACTTTAATTCTTAACAATTCTCTAAACTTACATATCCCCATTTTCATCAAACTTTACATCACAAGCATTTTCCGTTCCTTTATAATCTTGAAGTTCCTCGTTGTTTTTCGCAATATGCCGTGCTTCGTTAAGACTCTTGATTTTGTCTCCTACCAAAGGGTGACGACCATAACCAACAATTGTAGTCTCTTCTGACATAACACAATTGAGAGAAGTCCAAATAGCCAGGAGAATAACTAGAAGAGGATTAACACTAACACGAAGCATTGCGAGAAGAAAAAGTTTTTTGTCGTAATAGGATTTGAAGAAGATTGATAAAATATTTTAAAATTTTAAGCTTTTTATACAGACTTTATTTATGATTAAATAAGGGCTGCATTGTTTGAATGTTGTTGTAAATTATTCATATACTTATCTGGAGCCTCAAACTTGAAATCCTCAACTTCCTTTAAATTATTTTTTAAAGTCTTGATTCAAGCTCGTTTCCGGAGCTTGTTTATTCATTTAGATTCGAGATTAGCATTATACAACATATTCGTTAGTCGAGGACTAACACTAGGACTACTTACCCATCAGTGTTTATTTCTATGTATATTATTTTTGTTGAATGTTCCAAATAAATTTTTAAAAAATATTTTAGCAATTTAAATTATGAAAAGTTAAATAAAGTTTATGACATTTATAATATTTTTATCAAATATTTAAATATTATATTTCTTATTAATTAAATACTAAAACTGACTAAAAAAATATTTTTTTGATAGTATTTAAATGTTATTTAATTAAAAACTAATTTTCAAAACTTTTTCAATGAGTAACATAATTTTACATTTAACTAATTTAAATGTTAAATTTATTTTAAAGTTTTTCAAAAAAGTATATAAATAAATAATTTATTTATTTAAATTATTACCAAACAAAAATTTTCAAAATAAAATTAAAAATAAGTTAATTTAAAATGCAAAAATTTGTTTTCTTTTTAATTGTGCTTTCTGCAATTATTGCCGTTAGTATGGGACAATCTGTAAATTATTTTTTATTAGGAAATAAATTTTAAATTATTTTTATTTTAACATTATTATTGAGGAGGGTATTAAGGCTTAATTCTACTCTTTATATTGTTGATGCCCTGCCGTGGTAACGGCTAAAGTCACAGAAATTTTTAGTCAAGGGCCATCATTAAAATAAAAGCCCCCCCCCCCTCATTCCATTTTTAAAAGTATTTTTTCATTTACACTTTTTAGTCTTCCTCTCTCCGCTTAAATCGAGAATCTATATATTTAACTATTTTTAAGCGTTGTCAAAAATCTAAGGATGAAGGAAATTCTGACTGTAAAAAACCACATGCTTCTGAAAGTTGGTGGTATGTAAAGGCTGAGAATGACTGTAAGGTTAATCCAAATTTTGTTTTTAAAAACAAACTTACTATTTATTTTTAAAGTCATTCCAATATAAAGGATGTGGTGGAAATACTAATCGTTTTAAAACTAAAACTTTATGCGAGAAAGCTTGCAAGGTTTTTTTCATTAATTTAATTTATTAGCAACCACAAAAGTATAAAAATTGCACTAATTACATAAATTAAATAAATTTTAAAAATTATAAGAGTTTAAAATATTAAGAAGAAAAAAGTTAGTTTTATACCTAAAAAATGTAGGGATAAGAGACGACTGACTACCTTTTTCGAATAATTACCCCTTTTTATCAAGATGTTAGAAAAATACCACTAAAATAAATATTTTTAAATAAATTTATTTTAAATTTTATAAGATTTTAATTTTTAATTTATAAAATTTTATTTAGAAAAAATAATCTTCCTCCAATATTTTTTGATGAAAGAAAAGAAAAGAATTAATAAAAATAAAAAGTTGAGTAAACAATTTAATTGTAATATTATTTAATAATTTAAATAAATTTAAATAAATATCCTTTCATTTTATTTAAAGGTACGATTAATTTTAATAAATATTAAATAATTTATTTTATATTTCTTCTTTATTTAATAGGTATTTAATATTTTTTTCAATTAAAATAATTTTCTTAAAATAAATATAAAATTAATTTTTAATTATTTTTTTTACTGGGAATTGTATTTAGATGGCTGGATATCCATTCCAAATCAACAGACAGTCTAAATAATCTAAAATTATATTAAAATATATGTAATTAATTCATTATTTTATTTATTTATTACCCTACACGACCGGATACATGAAAGTTTTGTAACAAAACAATTTCCATTTCCCCCACAACCCTTATATTTAAATGTCTTCAAAAATATTTAATTTTCAAATTTATTTAAGTATTTTTAACCTTACAAACTCCCAAATTAAAATACCAACGAATATATGTTTGACGTTTACCTCGACAAAAAACTCCCTCATTTTTTGGTTGATAACAACGCTAAATTTAGAAAAAATAAAAAAATTTTATTTTAAATAAAAACTACTGAATTTTGGCAATTTCCAAAAGAAATAATTATTGTAAATAATAAAATTAACAAAATAATTAATTTTTTCATTATGTAATTTAAAATTAACAAAATAATTAATTTTTTCATTTATGTAATTTAATTGAAATTTGCTTATATTTTTGATTAAATATTGCTTTAATATAATTGCTTTAATATTTAAAAATTATTTATATCCAACACTAATATTTGAGGGTTTTATTGTTTATTTGTTTTAAGTTTTATTTGTCTAATAAAATATTATCTTTTAAATTTTTCTTTATGAATTACTAAGAGAAAAAGCTTTTACTAAGGAAATTTAATAAAATGTTCAGATTTATTCAAATCATATTAATTAAAATAAATAAAATAGTGTTTAGTATTTTCTGTCTTTAATCAGGGCTATATTTAGAATTTACGTCACACTTTCTTACATAACAGGATTTTCATGAAAAAATCGAAAAATAGCAAGCATCGCTTTTGGCTGGTATCTACAAAAATAGGATCACTAATTTTAGCAGCTTCATACATGGCAATGATGTACAGAAACAGATTTTAAAAAGCGAAAGGCAAATGTCAATCAAAATCAAAAATTAATTTTTTCAGTAAAAAAGTCATTCATATTTTCGTTAAAAATACTTAATAATTTATATTTCAGAATAAAATATAATGTCAGAAGAAAAGCCTGAAAAATAAATAAAATTTTGATTTATTAATATTATTTTAATTCTAAAATTTAACAAAAATTTATTATGACTTATTGAGAATTTGAGAAAATTATAAAAGATTAATTTTATATATTTATTTTATTTTAATTATTTGGATTTATTTAAATAATTAGTTAAAATAAATAAATATATTTTTATTTAAAATATAATAAAAATTTATTTTAATAAATTCAAATAATTAAAATAAATTAAATATATAAAATTAATCTTTTACAATTTTCTCAAATTCTCAATAAGTCATAATAAATTTTTGTTAATTTTTAGAATTAAAATAATATTGATAAAAAAAAATAATATTGATAAATTTTAAAATTATAAATTTCCCTCTCAAATTAAAATTTATCTGATTTTAACAAATAATTGAAACAAATACATAATTGTTAAAATCTGATAAATATTAAAATTGTTTGAATCTTTGGCGACCATTTTTGTTTATGCTAGTTTTGTGCTAGATTTTTCTAATAGAGCGTATGTTGAAAAAGGAAAAGATGTATTTGTATTGGTTTAAAAATTTAAAAAAAATGAATTTCTATGCTAGTTGATAACTCATTTTTCGAAGTTTTTAATGTTATTAAATTAAGCGACCCAAATTCTTTCCTTTTCGGGCCTTCAAGCTTCAACCAATTTTTAGTTCACCTTTTTTTGGGCTTAATTAAATTTTCTTGATTTTTACCTTAATAAATCTTTTCATAAATGTCTTCCTCCTTCTTTGGACCTTTTGCCTCTTTCTTCTTCTTAACATCTTCCTCAGCTTCTTTTTTGTTTCTTCCCCAACTTTTTCTTCTTTCCTTTCAGCCTTTTTCTTAAGCGTGAAGAAATGATTTTGAAAGAAGCACGTGAGCGCCGAAAGAGGGAAGAACAGAGAGGTGAAGCTGCAAATAAGAAGCGAGAGGAAGCTGAGGAAAAGTTGAAGGAAGTAAAAGATCGTCTTAAAAAGGCTGAAAGGAAAGAAGAAAAAGTTGGGGAAGAAACAAAAAAGAAGCTGAGGAAGATGCTAAGAAGAAGAAAGAGGCAAAAGGTCCAAAGAAGGAGGAAGATATTTATGAAAAGATTTATTAAGGTAAAAATCAAGAGAATTTAATTAAGCCCACAAAAAAGGTGATCCAAAAATTGGTTGAAGCTTGAAGGCCTGAAAAGGAATGAATTTGGGTCGCTTGATTTAATAACATTAAAAACTTCGAAAAAGGAGTTATCAACTAGCATAGAAATTCATTTTTTTATTTTTAAAACCAATACAAATATAACCGTCTTTACATTTTTCAACATATCTCTATTAAAAAATCTCCCACATAACTAGCAGCATAAACAAAAATGCTTGCCGAAGATTCAAACAATTTTAATATTTATTTGATTTTAACAATTTTGTAGCTTTATTTAAAAAACAAAATTCTCCAAACAAAACTCATCGTATAACAAAAAAATCAACACTCAACATTTCTTCTTTACTCTTACATCTTATTTGGAATAATTCCATCTTTTTGAGCAAGACGTAAAATACAATCATCAGATTCACCCTAAAATTATGTGTTAAAATT